ATGGCAAGATTCAGTACTTCCTTGTTTGTTGGGTAGATCGACGTGCTTCTTATGCTCCTCATTATGTACAATCATGTGAAAATTTTGAAAATGAGGTGTATGAGTATTGGTTATTTGGAGTCCAGTATCAGTACTTAGTTAGAAGGAAAGATCATCCCCCTTGGCCAGATCATATTCTTGGGAACAAGCTACATTTTTCAGTATTATCAATCATGGAATTTCGATACTTGGTTCGTCAGAAGGATCGTCCCCAATGGCTTGACTTGAAGCGTTTGAAGTATCAGCTTAACTGCAACTTTTTTGATCTATCCACTCGACAAGGTTAAGTTTTCTTCTACCCCAGAAGAATTGATGAGGACATCTACTTTTTATTTATTTTTAGTTGGAATTTATTTATATTTTAGATTTTACTTATGTAATTGGGCTTGTGTTGGCCCAAGTCCATGCTACTTATGGTTTTAATCTTTACTGATTAAACTTAATTGCAATGTAATTTCATTAGTTTTGATGAATTGAAGAATATTTTGGTGGTTTGTTGCCTATGACTTCTCTTTCCTCTTCCCCATGAATTTCTACTTCTTCTCCGGTTTCTCTCCCCATTCTCTTCGGTTCTCCCCTCTTTCTTGCTTCTTCTTTCTATTTTTTAATTCGTCCTGTATCAAATTTGGTATCAAAGCAAAAACTTGGGTAATTTTTCATCCACAATCCAAAACTTTCTTCCTATCCACTTCCCAAAAACTTGTGGAACAGCAGAAACAAAAAAAAATTGTTGTGAGGCAGCAGTTTTCTTGTTCAATTTTCTTTCTAGTTGATTAGAAAAAAAAGAGTCACTGTTCACGGGTACTATTCACACCCGGAATTTCAATTTTTTTTTTTAGATTTTTCAGCAGTTTCACCCACAAAAAAAAAAAAAAAAAAAATCGTTACTGTTCACATCCGAAATTTCATTTTTTTTAGTTATCATTTTCTGCAGTTCCCAAAAAAAAAAAAAAAAAATCAGGTTCAGGGTTTTAGGTGTTTGCTGCTGCTAAGTGTGCCCTTTCATAAATTTCATCCCTAACAATCAAACCCTAGTTACATTCAGCCTACATACAAGATCGGCCCACCTTATGTTAACCCAACTCTATAATAATCCATATATCCACATATAATTATTACCCGCGAGCCCATTCATCTTATCAAGACATTTGGACCATAAACTAGTGGCCCAAATTACTCCCAATCCCAGTTAAGACTCACTCTTATTTGATCCAATTCAAACCCCATTTCTTCTCAGCCACTCGTCTAGATTAACCCACAGTCACCATACCTTCCACGACCACCCTCACCGCCAATCACCAGCAACCCACTGCCACGCCAGTTGTCATCCACCACTCGGAGTTCAGTTTTTGCTTTAGTTTTCACGTTAATGGACTTCTTCTGAGTTCAGAGTGTCAGGGACATTTGTTGAATTGGATTTGGCCTATTATTTGCATTGGGACAGCTTGTTAAAACTCTTGAGTATTAGCGTTCCATTCAGTGACTAGACTGCTTAGGAGTATTCCATTATAATTTTCTACTGGAGACGTGCCAACTGAGAAATCATAATTGGGCACAATTCTTATTCTTTGGGTTTCATCAGGTTTAAGCTTTCGTGGGCACCACCGCTACAACTAAACAACAGGGAGTGCTTGATTTCTATTTGTCATTGATTTATTATATTGCTTCATTTAAAATTGTATTGATTAAATTTTTGTGATGTTGTTATTCTAACAATATACCTAAAGCCACGTGACTGAATCTGTTGATTTCGTCAAAACTCTATTTTACCCTACTTATATTACATGATTAGGTTTTGACTAGTATTTGATTTGTGCTTTATTATTTTACATAGATCAGCAGTATTAACTTGCCATATTTGAATTTACTCATCCCTAAAAAATGCTTAATTTGTTATTTTTCACTGCTTCCATTTATTGTTCATTGATCTCATCATTGCACGTCATTTAGCTGGTATTACATTGCATGTAGTTGCTTAGTGGTCGTCTTGTTGTCTCTATTTTCAATACATTGACCATGGATCCATCCCAATTTGATACACTCACGAGACAATTAGAGCAACTTGCCACTAGCCTATCGACTGTCCAATTAGATATAACTGTTACTCGTGAGGAGAGAAAGAACCTAGCTGCTAAGTTGAGCAATTTTAAGCGAACCCCTCGTTTGACTGACACTAATTCTGAGGCGTCTCATAATATACAATATTATCGTGGACAAAGGGATCAAAAATATTTTCGACTCGATCGTAGGAATAGAGATCAGGTTTGTGAGCGAGAACAAGGCCATAGTCATCATGGTACTCATTCTCTTCCTTGTCGTAAGGAACGTTTCTTTAGAGACATTGACTTAGATACTCCTACTTTCGATAGTTTATTAGATCATGAAATTTTTACCCAATGGAACATTCTTACACAAGGGAATCGACTAGTAACTGATTACATTGCTCAATTTGAGGAATTTCGAATGAAATGTCATGTCGATGAGGATGAGACCCTGACTTTGAGTAGATTTATACAAGGTCTAAGAGATGAACTTAGGTGTGAGCTTTTCTTTCGAAGCGTCACTACTCTTGATCACGCTTACTCTTCAGCTTGAGACTACGAGTTACTTATTAGTACTTCATATGAAAAGTGCGACCACCATCGTTCTTCCATGTCATTAGCGCCACCTCAACATGAGTCTGTTATAGAGCCTTCCCCTTCTAGTGTTCCTCCTATTTGGAAAAATAAGTGTAAAGGTCGTGATAGTCCAAGGCCCCATTCTCCTTATAGAAGGCGTATTGACAACCATTCATCTATTTCATTGGCTCCACTTCCTCTCGTTAAATCTCTTCTAGGACCTCCCCCGTCTAATGTTCTTCAAATCTTGGAAAATAGGGGTAAAATTTTTGAAATTCCTAGGATTTCTTCTCACTTGCTATGCATAAGCTGTAAGGACTTTGGTCATATCTCTTTCAAATGTCCTAACCAAGCTTTAGTCATAAAATAACGAAATGATGTAATAGAAGAGTCGTTAAAAGATCAAATTTATGAACCTAAATTTGAAGAATGTGATGACTTGAATGATATTGAGGACACTTCCTTATGTAGTATAAGGACTTTTCCTATGAATCTAGGGGTTGTACCCCTTGTTCCCAATACCCCTCAGTTAAATGTTGTATGTCACACTCTTTGCCAACCCAAAGGTATAGATGATTTGTGTAATCATGTCCTTTTCAAGGAAAATCTTGAGAATTGGGATTTGATCCTCCCAACAATTCAAATTGCATATAACAATTTTGTGTGTCGATTTATCGGTACAAATTCTATCGAAGTTATTCATGGTTATAAGTTTAGGAAACTTTTGGACCTTATTCCAATGTCCCCACATACTAGTTTGTCTGCGTCAGCTGAGGCATTTGTATGTCATCTTCATGACTTGCATATTGAGATCAATAAACAATTTGAAGCAAGTAATGCCTTATATAAACTTCAAACTAATTTGCATAAGAGAAATTTTGAATTTAATATTGGGGATTATGTTATATTGCAAGCTTGTAGTGCTGGTCCTTTAAAAATTTTAAAGTATGTTGGTTCAAATACACATGTCATTGCCCTTTCATCACATTTTGACTACCATTCTACTTTAAATATTGAGGATTTCATTACTTACAAACACCGTGTTACTTCCTTTGATGATCTATTTCTACTTAGTTTTATGGACCCCCAACTTGACTATGTTAATAGTTCTGCTTCAATACCATCTATCACAATACACAAAGATAAAATTGATATTATTTTAGATGAACGTGTTGTATTGACCAATGATGGCAAGATTCAGTACTTCCTTGTTTGTTGAGTAGATCGACATGCTTTTTATGCTCCTCATTATATACGATCATGTGAAAATTTTGAAGATGAGGTGCATGAGTATTGGTTATTTGGAGTCCAGTATCAGTATTTGATTAGAAGGAAAGATTGCCCCCTTGGTCAGATCATATTCTTGGGAATAAGCTACAGTTTTCAGCACTATCAATCATGGAATTTCGTTATTTGGTTCGTCAGAAAGATCATCCCTCGTGGCTTGACTTAACGCATTTAGAATATCAGATTGATTGCAGCCTATACTATCTATCAACTCGGCAGGGTCGAGTTTTTCTCTCACCCTGGAAAAGTTGATGAGGACATCTACTTTTTATTTATTTTTAGTTGGACTTTATTTATATTTTAGATTTTACTTATGTAATTGGGCTTGTGTTGGCCCAAATCCATGCTACTTAGGGTTTTAGTATTTACTAGTTAAACCTAATTGCGATGTAATTTCATTAGTTTTGATGAATTGAAGAATATTTTGGTGGTTTGTTGCCTATGGCTTCTCCTTTCTCCCCCTCCCCCTCCCCCATGAATTTCTGCTTCTTCTCCGATTTCTCCTCCCATTCTCTCTGATTCTCCCCTCTTTCTTGCTTCTTCTTTCTATTTTTCAATTCATCTTGCATCAGGGAGCCCTTTGGTTTAAATTTTGGAAATGATATGCCCTCGAAGTTGGGATTTCTTACAACTTTTTGTGCGTCTTGTTACTTTAAATAATGCATGCATGTCCGAAACTGAGAGTTTCAGTGAACTGCCTCTATGGATTCAGTAAATGATGCTGAGTTTATATCATCTCCTCTTTTAAATGAAGTACAGTTTCTTAAGCTGGATGTACTGGAAAGATAATATAAAATCCTGGATTAACTCTCTAAATCCTTGGCTAACAAAATAGAAAGCTTCTCTTTTGGTGTCCAAAAAGAGTTCTTCACTCCTTTTTCATTATCTGTATTTCGGGACAAGCATTCAATTCGTGTAATGGGAAAGATTTCGTGTAGAATACTTTTGTTTAACTCGTGTTCATCCCACTATGCACTTCAAGTTTCTAACCTCTGAAAACTTGTTTTCCTTGTGGACAGCAAATACCTGATTCTGTCTATCTTTTGGCTGATGGATCTGTCGGAGATTGGCTTTCAGGCATTTTATATTCAGCCAGTCAACAGGCTAATGTTGCTGTTCAGGATCAGTTGTCAGCTCTCAGTTTTACTAGGTTAATATCATATCAAATATGTTCTATGTTGCACTGGGTTTAATGACTGCTTGCACAAGCTGTTTATGTATGGTTCTAACCTATTTTGCTATGCAGTTTGTCAGTCATTTTTGGTGCTGGCCTTGTAACTAGCCTTTCTCCTTGCACACTCAGTGTTTTGCCACTTACCCTTGGTTACATAGGTATGAGCTTTTGTCTCAATTCTTCTGATCTCCAGTTATTATACAGTTTGCATCAATGTCTGATACTTGAATTTTCTGGAAATCATCTAGGAGCATTTGGCTCAGGGAAGAGCAGAGCAGAGGTAAATGATTTATTGAACCTGAATTCGTACTACTGTCTTTTGTCTTGTAAAATTTCTGTTTTCATTGACATGCAACCTCATTGATGACCTGTGGAGATTGACTGCAGTTGCTCATATAGTTTTGTTTCACATGGACTGTTGATCAAGCAGTAAATGAACTTAAATACTTTTATAATATGCATGTCTTGTATTGGACAGGTTATTGGGAATTCTCTTGCATTTGCAATGGGATTGGCGACTACATTAGCAGTACTAGGTGTAGCAGCCTCATTTGCTGGCAAGGCTTATGGTCAAGTAGGGCAGGGGCTACCTCTTGCCCCCCCCGGTTTTTGGCTAAATGCCCTTATTGGGAATCATGATTATATCTTAAGAAGCATAGAATAAACAGAGAACCACAAGGATGCAATTTGATTAAAAGATCATCCAGCTGGTGTTAGTTTGTAGCTCTCAGAACTTAATAAAGATGTCTATCCGCCATTGCCATTCAAGTATCTGTTAAGCCTCCAATCCGTTTCATCTATAATAGAAGAAACCAGAAGAATTGAGAAGCCTAGAAGGGATGTGTAACAGCATTTGGTTAGGAAGCATGTGAGAGGAGGGAAATTCCGTTAAGAAGAAGTGATATAAATAAGGGTAGGAAAGAATAGATAGGCATGCAAAATATGAAGTAAGAGCAAGGAGTCTTGTAATCGTTCCATTTCTGTAATTTCCAGTATTTGAATTCAGTCAAATATTCCTTTCAAATTCAGTTTTTCCCTCGAGAGTCCAACAGTATCTTACCTCCTAATTAAAGTTGGTTCCATAGATAGAGCTTGTATTTTGTAGCATACAGTATGTTTAATCTTGCTTGTCCTTTTCATTGTCTAAACCTGAAGTTTTGAATATAATCTTTATTTCAAAAAAAAATTCAGAAATTATTCCATATTTTTCTCCAATCATTGTTGTTAAATTTAATGTTTTCTTGAAAATTTTCGGGAGCCCAATGTTTATCTATTCAAGAATTTTAGCCTTAGCTGATTATATGAAGTCTACTTAGCGTCATTTCAATATGTTGTGTAGGTCTAGTGTGCTCTTGCATGGAAAAATCTTAATGTCTTGTTAATGTCTATTATTCTCAAATTTACATAATTGCTGCAGACTGGTTACATTCTTTCTTTGTCAGAGGTAGATATTAATGAATTCTCTCCAACCTTTTTATTTTGATTCTGCTTCTACCTTTCCTTTCTTCCCCTTTGGAATAATTTATATATAAATATTTCTCAACTTACTCATGTAAGTGTTTTGCTTGAATTGAATATGGAAGTGTTCTCTAACAATGCTTATAAGTTGGTCTATAATCATATTTTGATAAATGGATTAGGTCGATCAAATTGCTCCCCCTTCCTATAAAATTCAAACTCTTTTTTCTGGACTCATTTTCCCATCAGCTCTGAACTTGTCCACAATAATTGTCAATAGACAGCAATGAACTGTAGGCAGTCTATGCATTTGTAATTTGCTTGCCACTCAATTTTTGTTAACATTGTCTTTTGTCTTTTGGTCAATGATGCAGGTAATTGAGTTACAACTTCCCTCATTTTTCAACAACTTTGATCCTCGTGCAGCTGCTGCTAATTTGCCTTCAAGTAAGCTTTTCTATCCTATTGTTAATTCTTCACACATTCAAGGTCCAGCTGGCTTACTTTGCCTAACTTGACTGCTTGAAAATGCCATTAATTTCTCATTTATATTGTAAGGTGTTCAAGCGTATTTGGCTGGACTTACATTTGCATTAGCTGCATCACCTTGCAGCACTCCAGTGCTGGCTACCTTGCTTGGATATGTTGCTTCTACCAGGGTACTTGTCTTCATTTAGCTTTTTCAGTTTTGTACCTTTCAGGTACATAATTAAGCAACAGGGATTTGGAATTGTGAGTGTGGATAGTACTTTATTATTTTGTCCAAGTATAATGTGGTTTAGACTTTTGAAGTGAATAACATTTGCAATATGGTGAGAAAGAATAAAATACTCAGTTTCACATTCTAGTTTTAATTTGAATTATGTTATTGACTTGATTTGATGTATGATATTGACAAAGAGAAGAAAAATATATACTGAACATCTATTGCAGGATCCAGTAATAGGGGGTAGTTTACTGTTGACCTATACAACTGGTTATGTTGCTCCTCTACTTCTTGCTGCTTCCTTTGCTGGAGCATTGCAGGTATATGTTTGACACCAGCAATTTGTTATTGCTTTCAATTCTGCAGATTGTCATATGTTGCCTGCTCGTGTCTCGTGTATATTGAATTGCACTTAAGCAGATTTTAACACACCTCCATGTTTTAGTCACATTTAACTGTTCTCCCCACCTAAGGGATTTCTCCAAAAGGCACTGTGCAGTCTTATAATTTTCCTTTTGACTTCTATTTGACCTGTATAAATTAAGCGTCTAACTATAATAATACATGGGGATGTGCAGAGCCTGCTTTCATTCCGCAAGTTTTCTGCATGGATTAACCCAATGAGGTACTGACGTGAATACAATTAATTTTTGAAATCTGCTTCATCATAACTAATGAATCAAAACGGCATTCATAGACTAATCAGCCATCTTCTTGGTGAGTACTTTAGGCTTCTTTGTTTTTTCTGCTTCTAATATGCGAATTGAATGTCCTTCCAGTGGGGCCCTCCTTCTGGGCGGGGGCGTATATACAATGTTGGATAAGCTTTTCCCTGCAACAACGATGGCAATGTAAGCAGTTACAGGGATTACATGCTGTAAAAACTAGACCAGAAGAAGAGGAAGGTGCTGCTGTGCTAACTTTAGTTGGCAGTTGGCACCAAATGAAGACCTTCCCACACACTATTTTTACATCAATACATTGATATTTAATGTGCAGAACATTCCCGCCCAGGAAAAAAACCCGTGTAAAATAATTATTCACCAACATGGTTAAAAAAAAGTTCTTTGTAAAAAATGTAAGTGAATTTGTGCATTTATGAGGAATGGAGCTATGTAGTGTTTGGTCATGGAATACAGGTAGATGGATCAATATGATGCTTTAATGAGGAATGGATCAGTGTGTATTAATTTCGAATCCACCAAACTCCTACATTACTGTCTACACTCTTCGAGACTCAAAATGGTTTTATACTTCTATTATTACCCCTCTATATCAATTCATTATGTCTGCCACCGCCACTCCCACTCCCACTCCCACTCCCACTCCCACCTTCATCACTGGTACCAGTACCTGTCACTTAGCCATTGCACTCTTTTGCATACTCGAACTTATTACTGGTTATTAGCTTCTGGATTTTGTGGTGAACATTCGTGATGAATTTATCAGCTGATTACATAATGACTAACGTAATATGTCAAATTTAAAGGACACATGTTTGGACATGACTGCAGCAAAAGATCTACCTATACTTGTTCATAATAATTTTTTGCTCAATCTTTCTTAACGTTGAGAATTGGGGATAAAAAATCATGCTGTCCGCGATTCCGCCTCTCGGAACCTATCATTGCTAGAAGTTTCTTAGCTGTCCTAATTCAAAGCATTTTACACAATGATTCCAGTGGACTCTCGGAACCTATCATTGCTAGAAGTTTCTTAGCTGTCCTAATTCAAAGCATTTTACACAATGATTCCAGTGGAATAGGACTTGTTGCAAAAAGTAAAAGAAAAGCATGTATAATTATTCTTGTAAAGATCCCTTTTGGCTTTTGCAAAATTAAACAATAAGCACCAGAGAGAAAAAAATCCCAAAATATGGCTCCATTTGTTTTCGCTCACTTCAATCAAGTTTTTAAAGAGAGAGTTTCTCTATCTGCATGTGTGACATACATTAATGAGAGCCGCGATTGATCATTTCCATGTATTGGTTCAGAGACTCTTGTCGTTGCAATCTCATCTCTTCGTTGAATTTCTTGATGAACGCTTCCACTCGCTTATTCAGCTCGTCCTGACCAAGTGATGGCTCCTTCCTGAGTTTTCCCAAGCCACCACCACCACCACCAGGTGATGGAGTCGATAAAGGGCTTGTAGCATTTCTACGGTCTTTAAACGTTTCAGCTTTGGTCATCTTTTGTGGTGTATTTTCTAGCTGTTGCGGCTGGTGGTGACTGCTGTGGGGATGCTGGTTGTCTCTCTCCCACGTGTCGGACTTTCTCAAGTGCCTAGTTAGTGGCATTGCCCGTCCGTCTGTTATAGTTTTCCATGTACTCTCCAATGTGTCGTGCTTTTTCATTTTTGACACGCCCAATAACGATTTGCCACCTGAAAATAAAATTGAGATCGATAATGTTTATTCAATTGAATAATGCTATCGAGTACCCGGGTTCAATTAATTGAATAATGTGATATTATATTTAAGTGAATTCATTATTTAATATTATGTAATTGTAAAAAAAACTCGTGTTGAATAATATTATTCTATTTGGATGAATACTAGTTAATTCAGGTGGAGTGGGTTGGGTTTAGTCAGCTCTTCGTCTTGTCGCGTTCCTCTTAACTCGCCCACCGTTTTCTGGGCCATGGACAGTTTCGGCATTTAAAATCAGGAAAAATATTCAGCTGTGCGGTAGACCACAAAGAGACAAGTACTCCCAGCCAATCATAATTAAATAATATTCCTCTGACATTAATTCACAGGCAACCAAACTCCAACGGTAACATTTTGCCAGCTAATGCATTTCGGAGATTATCGTCGTCGGCTTATTCTCGCCGGGCATTTCAAAACTTTAATTTTTCGGTAACGATATATTTTAAGCTTATTAGCCATGTACCTTTATGTGAAGGCAGCACGTGTTTGTAAATTGTATGGGAAACAAAGAGAGATGTAAAATACAGAGAAAATTGATACCTTCGGGACTGGATTTGACATTTCTCCGGTGACCGAACCTTACAGAAGCCGGCAGCTTCTCCTTCGGTGTATGATATTCCGTTGAATCTTCATTCACCGATAGCATCCGCGTAGATTTCGAAATGACATACTCATTCTCCTTATTATTCATCGAATCCTCCTTAAAAATAGCGGCAGCCGGAGCGGTAACATTCGTCATGAAGGCCGTTTCATTGCCGATGATCCTCTCATTCTCGTGTACATACGCATCAAACCCTAGTCCTTTACCGATTTCCACTTCGTAACCATAGTTATTACTCAAAACGACGCCGCTGTACTTGTACTCAGCTGTTGAATCATACTCAGTTTGAATATTTTTCACAATCGGCGTCACCGGTTGGGGCAGCAAATGAACCATGGTGTCGATCGGCGCCGGAGACAGGTCATGTTTTTGAGACTGCAGTTTCGTGGTAGCCACGATGGTGATGATAATACAGTTGATGACTAGGTATAAATACGGAGGTCTAAGCCATGAAATAACGACGTTGTAGATTGAAGGCACGTCATATACGGCAAAATCTGTAATTGCCGGAAAGGAAATTTTGAGCATAACAGCAGCTCCCAAAACACTGGTGGATATTAACACGATCTTTAGTGATAGCATAAGATCAGTTGATGTTTGAGATAGAATCGCCATTTTTCTCTGGTAATCTCTTCGGGCAGAGAATATGGAGAGAGAGGAGCGGAGAAGAAGAAGTGATGAGGGAGCGTGAGTGGATATAAATATATAGTGGGAAATTATGGGTACCATCGTTAATCTGATCTGGTGCGGTCAGATTCACATTAATCACAAAAAATTAATGTTCAACAAATTTTCAATTTTCACTTGGTTTAAGAGAAAACAAATTTATGTTATTATTCAAAAGTTGGCATTGGTGATCTGACCGTGTCGAGTGAAATTGTCGCTCAACTAATAAAAGTTACTCTAGAAATGATAAACTATCTTTCTTTAGAGATCCCATCGACAAGAAATTTAACCTTGATATCGTCTTTTTGCCATCTGAGGCTATAGTATGTTTCAAGGGTTTGACTATTCGTCCATTAAAACAATAAGTAAGATGGGTTTGAAACGTCGTGTGGCAGTTTGTTCTTTACTAAACTTCCTTCAAATTGCAAATCAGAATCAATTCTTATAAAAGGTTAGAGATGGCAATTTGAACCGTCAAAATCGAAAATCGCGGTTAACCGAACCGAATGGGGCAAAAAAAACCGAATCGATGGTGCAATAGGGCGGATATGATTTTTATTTTACTGAACCAGTTCGTGGCGGTGCGGGTATGGTATTTACACCATTGAACCGAAACCAAACCGATTACCCGCTTAATTATTGAGATTTACACTACTTTTCTATCTAACCCGAAACAAAATCCCCCCATTACATCTACATGACTCAGCCAGTCAACCCACTTACTATTACCCCATAATAATAGTATTAGTATAACAGTATATAAATGCAAACCCCACTCTTCACAAACTACAAAATCATGCACGGCTCCTTTTATTGTTAATTTTTTTCTATTGTGTGTAAAAAATTTTACTTCATCATACTCTAGAGATTGTGCAACGTTTAGCGAGAAGGAAGCTGACGAAGAGGTACATTTTTTTGTTATTTAAATCTTAGTTAAGACCATTCTGGAATAGATAGTATTGTTGTATTCTCTACTTACATTTCTTATTTACTATATAGAAATCAACTTTGAGTGTTGATTTATGCTAGTAAGACTTGTAGAGAAGAATGAATCAAGTAACTTCGATGCACAACAATTAAGAATGAAGGAAAAGTTTAGTATTGTTATATTTATAATATTATTTGTTAAAATTGTATTTTACAATTGAAAATTGTGATAATGTTTACATTTTCGTTTGAAATATTGTTTGATAATGTTTGCATTTTCGTTTGGAATATTGTGTTTTTGTTTTCATTGACTTTTTTCATAAATTGTTTTATATCAATTTGACGGATGAACCTATAAAAAATAATTTATTTTCGTGGTTATTAACCGAAACGAACCGTGCCAAATCGAGATACGAATCGAACCGATTTACGTGGTTAAGGTGCGATTATGGTATGGTCAAAAAATTGATGGTTCGGTTATGGTTTTGGCCTAACCGACCCATAACCCTAACCGACCCATAACCGAACCGTTGCCAACCCTATAAAAGGTCAAGATAATGCTCAACTTGATATCAACCTCTACTCCCATAATATTATCAATGTAGTTAGTTTTAGTTTTAAATTAATTGAAAACAAATTTTAGTTTATTATTGTGGTAGCGTGGTCCGCAAATAATCTTTGGCTAAACAGTTATAAGACTTCAACTTTACTAAAGTAATAAGTTACAATTTACTAAATTTGAACATAATTTGTAAAAATGGATAGACGGGTTTGATCTCTTGCCCCAATGGGTTGTATAAAAATTTATCACCGTTGATGTGGTAAGAAAATTTTATTTGTGGTGATTATAAGTGATAAGTTTTTATCTTGTCCACTGGGACGAGATCAATTTCATTGTTTGACCAAAGAGTGAATTGAAATAGGTGTTCTTTTAACATAGAACATCGTAAGGAAAATATTATTTGCCACAATGGGAACACAGATGCCTTTCCATGTTCTTAGAAGAGTTTAATAATGAGAAAAGCGGTGGTTAATTCAAATATTATTACATTAATCAAATGTTTTACTTTCTCAACGGCCTTATTTGTGGCCGTTACATAAGGCCGGTGATTCAGGATCAGCCACTTGCTGGAGACTGCACGTGCCCAACAGCTCAATCTCAATGAGTGGGTGCACTTCCCACTATCCTCAATTAAAATTTTCGGTTGGTACGATGATGAGTGATTTACACTCATTATATTATGCCATTAATTTCATGATTTTGCTATCTTGGAGAGTATTTTAGAAGTTCTAACAAGTGATTTTGGTGTTGTTTTGTAGATTGATGAAAATGGAGAAAACTAGAGCTAAAATAGTTCAAATGAAGGAAATAGGCAAAAACTAGCGAAATTGGATGAAATGACCAAAACGTAAGAGATCCAAAGTTCAAGGATTAAAATGCAATTAATCAAAAGTCGTGTCGAAACTTTAAATGAAGATCCGAGAGTTCTAGAAGCCAATTGGACAAAGGAAGGTGTCAAAGGGATCAAATTTAGTCAAGATATGATCAT